CAAGGCTCGGCAGTCTCCTAAGGACTGTCCCTGACTTCGGGGTTTTTCTCTCCTCTACCTTTCTCCCCATCTCCATCCCTCTCCCTCCTACTCCCTCCCCTTCTCTTTCTCACGCCCTCTCCGCTGCTCCCCTTCTCCCCACTCTCTTCCCCCTCACTTTCCCTCCCACTTCCAGATTCCCAGGTCTTTGAAAAGTTGCTTTCTTTATTGCACTTGTGCTTCTTTACTTTCTCTGTTGCCTTCATCTTTCCTTCTGGCCCTACTGGATGACTTTTATAGTGACCAACTGAAAAATGTCTGTAACTGACAGCAGCATACAGAGGTCCATGTTCTTCCAGCATTTGATGCTGTAGAGAGTAGTAAGGATTCAAAAGGGGAGCTTTTATTGCGCATGCTATACTTTAACAAAAAACACAAAAGACAGTCTACTGGAAAAAAAAAAAAAAAAACAGCTAATGTGCATTTGGGTACCTTTCTTTTATTTGTTCTTCTAACAACCTTTTATTGAGTACATTCTATTTTCTAGGGTCAATTTCAATTCAGTTCAGAAGCTTTTTGAGTGCCCATGTTCCCAACAATAGTATAAATTGGATTACAGAACATCTACTTTCTAGGAACTTAAAGTCTTATTAGAAAAATTGAGCTCCAAAAGTTTTTTGTCAGCGTGGCAGTAGTTCAGTTAATTGGTGTGATGATATTTGCAGTGTCACATTTTTACAGGGTCTGCTGTTTTACCTGGTACTTTCACACAACACACAAGCGTACATGCATGCACGTATACATGCACACACACACACACACACACACACACACACACACACTAATTCTTGTAAAATCTTTTGAAGGAAAGAGGGTAAAAATGGGAATAATTGGTAAAGAAGTTGGCCTTGAATTTTTAGAAAATGAGTTTTCCTTGACATATCCTTTACTTTTCTTGTTTATAACACATTTTTTTTAAATAGAAAAAGTATAAATCTTCATTTTTGTGTTGCTTCTAATGTATATGTGGAAAGAATATGAAACTGGTATGCTGCTTAAAATGAATTACCTTTATAATTTTAAAATATTTTTAAATTTTATGTGTTTGTATGTATACCTGAGTATATGTACGTGCATGTAGGTGCCCATGTAAGCCAGAAGGTGTTGTGTCCTTTGGAATTACAAGCAGTTGTGAACCACCTACTGTAGGTACAGGGAACTAAACCTGGGTCCTCTATAAGAGCACCAAGGGCTCATAACTGCTGAGCCATCACCCTAGCTCCATCTTTATAATTTTTGATTAATCTATTTTAATTTACTATTTACTGTTTTTCTCTGAGCTTTTTTTTTTTTAACCCAAATTCAAATCCTCAGCACCTATGCAACTATGTAAAAAGCTGAATGTGGCAGCTTATACCTGTAGTCTCAGTGTGTGGGCTGTGTGCAGACGGGGGATTCTTGGAGCTTTGCTGGCCAGCTAATCTAACTAAATGGTGATCTCCAGGTTCAGTAAGAGACTCTGCCTTAAAAAAAATAAGGTGGAAATAGATCAAGGAGGATACCCAACCTTGACCTAAGGCCTCCACATGCACGTCCCTGTGTGCATGTACACACACACACACACACACACACACACACACACAGAGTTTTCATAACTATACAGCTTTTTGATGTTTTGTCATCTCTTTAACTCAGAGTATCTAAACAGTGTCACGCTAGGACTTGGATTAGATAATTCTCCTGGAGCCCTGGCCCTGACTTTCTGCTATCTAATATAGGGGCTTAGGTGAGAATATGAAACCATCATTTACTGAGGCATTCCTGGTCCTTTGTGGCCCCAGCTGGCCTGGAACTTGTTATGTAGACCATGATGGCCTTAAACTTACAGAGATCTGCCTGCCTCTGCCTCCCATGTGCTGGGACTAAAGGCGTGCACCACCGTGCCTGCATCTGGTCCTTTATTTCTATAAGATGATGAATAATAGTTTTTCTATTTCAGTGTAGACTTTGAGGAGCCTGCTTTGTGAGGTCTGACTTCATTATAGTCAAACTTAAGAAAAGCCAGTTGGCTCTCTCTCTCTCTCTCTCTCTCTCTCTCTCTCT